TGCTATCTTAAAAATATTGTGCTTAACATAATTTATACTGTTTCTGGATAGCATGTCTGATCATGCTTTAGAAATGCTACGCATCTTGTGACTATTTTAGTTCTGAGGCAGTATAAGCAGGTTAATTATAGAACATTTTAATTCATACTCTCTTAATTCACAATGTGAATAATCATGTTTACCTACTTTTAAGAAAATATTTAGAACAACTGTCATGTTATAAAAACTTCTTTTTAAAATATTAATTGCCTACAATAATAATTTAAATAACTTTGCAACTAACTTAAAACAGTGTTGTTGGCCTAGATCACAGAAGTGTATACCATAGGAGTCCTTTTATTTACATACATGTGTTAGGCTTTATTTACTCCTGCATTTATATGATGCACAGTTATTGATTACCTGCCATTAGTTTAAGTAACAACAGTCTGACTTTACTTTGCCAAGGAGGTAAGTATAATTGTTCATGTTATCTTAGCACTTAGAGTAAAAACAGGCTGATGTCACCCGAACCACGCTCGGATCTCAACAGCGTATTGCCACCATGCGGCCTATAATTACATCAGCCCCTGATCCCATATGCTGTATTCTAGTCCCAGATGTCATTTTATTTCCAGGATACCAGGCATTGATAATTGATTGAGAATTTTATCCTGGCTAATTGCACTGACTGGTGAGGGTGGAATACGTTTGAATTCATTGTCTCTCCTATATTGTAAGCATTTGAGTAAGCGTGTTTGTATTGTCTGTTCTTTTCTTATTTGCTTTCCTTTCCTCTTTTACTTAGTGCCCTCCAGGAATGAAGCAGCAGGTGCTGGGATTCTACACCAAACTCCTGGGCAGAATCAAGCAGCCGCTACTTCCGCACATCAACGTGCACAGGCCCGTGCAGGTACGTGTTCCCCACACACAGTTATTTGGTTTGATTGCTTTGGGTATAGATGTAATTGTATATAATTTTTCTAAGAGTACAAATAATACAGGAAGTTATTCTAAAAATTACATGCAAATTAGCAAGTACTTGAGCTTTATGTATGACATGGTATTAAATGCATTTCATGTCTTTATTATATTTTTCTTTTAAAATTTTATACATTAATTTTTCCTTTAACTTATCTCCATGACATCTCAAGGAGTGTTTTATATACCTCATTCATTTTGGGGCGGGAGGCGGGGAGGGTAATGCATTTGAAAAATTTACTACTAGTAAACTTATTTTGATGTCGGTGATTGTAAACAGTGTCCTTTCTGAATAATGCAAGCTGTTTGCATTATTTGAAAACTTTAAATATCCCTAAGGTATATGGATGGCTATATACATACTTATGAAAAATAAGCTAATTTTAAACATTTTTGAAAAAATTGTTGACAGAAATTAATTCGACTCTGTGGTGAAGTCCTTGCAACACCAACGGAAAATGAAGAAATTCAGTTTCTCTGTATTGTGTGTGCAAAACTGAAAGAAGATCCCTATTTGGTTAATTTTTTTCTGGAGGTACGGTATCCTCATCACTCTTCAGAGCATGCCTATGTTCGCGTTTTTCTATGCGTTTTACTTTTTCCTGCTGGTCAGTCAACTCCTTGAGGACCAGGGCTCTGTTCTGTTCATCTTTGGGTCCCCCAGCTTCTCTGTCTAGCACCCGGCACAATGCATAAGGACTGTTTAATTCACACGGTTGAATGAAGGCATCTTTAGAGAAACACAGCTTTATTACCTGTAAGTATAGACAGTCACAAAAGTACTTTGCAGTTCTTAAGCACGTCCCCCTGAAATCTAACCTATATTCAATTTATACCATCTAACATACGCACCTACTGTGGATTAAATGCCTATGGTAAATGAGCTAGAAACTGTCATTGCCCTAAAAGAGTTTATAGGCTGGTGATGAAGGTAAGACGAATATTCAGATACAGTAGCAGTCAAATAGGCATCACTAACACTGTTCACTGCTTATGGTCAGTGAAACATTTTGTAGAGCAAGCATGTCAAACTCGTGGCCCTCGGGCTGCATGTGGCCCACAATTAATATTTTTGCAGCCCAGCCAATATAACAGTATGTAAGAAACGTTTTAATAAAAATTTTGTAACTTAATGTATACAATATCCTGTTACACATAATTTTTTTTAAAATATATTTTATTGATTTTTTACAGTGATTGCCACGTCATTAGTCTGTACTGACTTGTTTGGTGTGCGCAACAGGAAATATTTCACTTTCAGAGAACAAGAAAAATAGGTTTATTTAAGTTACGCTTATTAATTTGTGTAGTTATTCAGTGTCTGGTAAGTTAATGTTCAAGAAAATATATTAATTTCTATTAAAATGTTCTGTTATTTTATGTTAACGATGACTCATTTATTTCAGCCCTTTGTATTCACTATGTCTCTATCGAAATAAACGTACGTTTCTATGAAAATTGAAGCTTTTGTTTTTTTTGCGGCCCACAAAAACTTAAACCTTATTTGGCCCGTATAAAAGCCTCTGAGTTTGACATGCTTGTTGTAGAGAGTGTAAAGTGTATCTGAAATGCCTCTGCAAGGTTTAAAATACCTAGAACACATTTTGTTAAAGTCTGAGCGTGTTCATTTGTCAAAACGCTTCTGTCTGTTGCTCTGCTGGCTAGACACTGAACGTTGATAGAAAAATCCATTCATGCCCTAGCTGGTTTGGCTCCGCGGATAGAGCGTCGGCCTGCGGACTGAAGGGTCCCAGGTTTGATTCCGGTCAAGGGCATGTACCTGGGTTGCGGGCACATCCCCAGTGGGGGGCGTGCAGGAGGTGGCTGATCGATGTTTCTCTCTTATCGATGTTTCTAACTTACTATCCCTCTCCCTCTCCCTTCCTCTCTGTAAAAAAAAAATCAATAAAATATATTTTAAAGAAAAGAAAAGAAAAATCCATTCAGGCATGATACCTGTTTGAGAGGCTTTTGATGTGACGCTTACAACACCTGTACTCCTTTTCAGAATAAATTGAAATCGTTGGCTTCCAAAGGAGCAGCCAGTGTCACTGCAGAAGACACGTTAAAAGGTGCAGAGTCCTTGTCCACAGACACGGGACAGCCCTGTCGGCCCGAGGAGCTGCCTGGTGCCTCCGGGACGGAGCAGACGGAGTTAGACGATGAGCCTCCTCCTCAGACGGACGACCTGTCCACGGGCCTGGAGAACCTGAGTGTCGTGTCACTGCCGGAGGCCACGGTCGTCCGCCCAAACCAGGATTACAACCTCGTGAATTCCTTGTTAAATCTCACCAGAAGCCCTGTGAGTCGTCTCTATAACTTTCCCTCCTCATGTGATTACAGTTATATGCATTTAAAATAGAAAAAAAAAATCTTTTCTTATTTGAGACTAAAGCATAAAATCCTTTAAAGTTAAATTTTTTTCCAACTACTCATCGGATATCTAATTTGGGCATTGAAAGGGGTGTGTTTTCCCCGCAGGACGGCCGGATAGCTGTGAAGGCCTGCGAGGGCCTCATGTTGTTAGCGAGTTTGCCAGAGCCCAAGGCTGCCAAGTGCCTCACGCAGAGCACGTGCCTGTGCGAACTCCTGACCGACAGGCTGGCCGCCCTGTACAAGGCCCTGCCTCCGTCGGTGGACCCCTTAGATATTGAAACCGTGGAGGCCATCAACTGGGGGTAAGAACCACCACTTGTGTGTTTCCATAAAAGTGACTTCCCACTCCTGTACTTTCACATCCATTTCCACTGAGCTATTACAAGAATCTTTCGTTTTGAAAAAGGTAACATAGCTAGTGAGCATTAAATGGGATTATTTTCTGAGGCTTGTTTTGAATTGGTTATTAATTAGTGGAAATAAATGGGTATGGGAATAGTCCAGCTATTATAAGGAAGCTACTTTGCCTCTGTCCATTACAGTGATCAATCAAGACCTTCATTACATTAAGATCAATAACTTTATCTGTTTGTTTATTTATTTATTATTTTTTTTCACTGTAAGTGTAGATCACACTCCAGATTTCAAGTACTTGAAAAAAAAATGTAAAATACCTTATTAATAATTTTTATATCGAATGTCAGTTGAAATACTATTTTGGATATATTGGGTTAAATTAGCTATGTTATTAAACTTAGTTTCACCTGCCTTAATTTGCTTATTTGAATGTGGCTACTAAAAATTTTTAAATTACACACGCAGTTAGCATTACACTTCCACTTGGGAATTGTGTAGTAAATTTTGAGAATTGTTGCTGTAGAGCAGTGATTTTCAACCTTTTTCATCTCATGGCACACATAAACTAGTTACGAAAATTCTGCAGAACAAAACATTTTTTTGCTGGTCTGACAAAAAAAATAGGTATAATTTTGATTCATTCACCCTGGACAGCTATGGTTGTATTGGCTACTGTCATTTTTTTTTATTTGACAAGCTAAGGGAGAAGAGGTCAGTGCCCCTGACTATGCAGGCAGGTGTTGCATGTTTCAAACATTCTTGCTGCTCACTGGCTGCAACCGCTGCTGGAGAGCAATAGTTCCCAACTGGGACAATTGTGTTCCCCCAGGGACATTTGCCAGCATCTGAGACTGTCACCAATGGGGGCAGGGGTTCTATGGGCATCTAATAGATAACGGTTGGGGATGTGGCTAAATGTCCTGTAATGCACAGGACAGTCCCGACAACTAAGAATTACCAGGTTCAAAATATGTTTTTTATAAATCCTAAGAAAAAGTAATCTTTTTTATGAATAAGTTTCACAGGCCCTGGGGCAGTCTTGTGTGGTTCCTGGCCTCACTATGTAGGACCGCTCCTCCTACCTCATTCTCTCACCCCTTTACCCATCTTTCAGGGCTGCCCCTTGATTCTCGTAGGAAACTATGATTATTGTAGAACATTTATAAGTTATTAAAAAGTATAAAGCAGCCCTAACTGGTTTGGTTCAGCGGATAGAGCATCAGCCTGCAGACTGAAGGGTCCCAGGTTCAATTCCGGTCAAGGGTATGTACCTTGGTTGCTGGTACATCCCCAGTTATGGAGTGTGCAGGAAGCAGCTGATCGATGTTTCTCTGTCATCAATGTTTCTAACTCTCTATCCCTCTCCCTTCCTCTCTGAAGTCAATAAAAGTATATTTACACAAAAAATGATCCTGCTTATAGATGGTGGGATTATGGATGATTTTACTTACGGTGCTTTATACTTTTTAAAAAAAATATATTTTATTGATTTTTTACAGAGAGGAAGGGAGGGGGAGAGAAAAGATAGAAACATCAATGACGAGAGAGAAGCATCAATTGGCTGCCTCCTGCACGCCCCACACTGGAGATCCAGCTGGCAACCTGGGCATGTGCCCTGACCAGGACTCGAACTGATGACCTCCTGGTTTATGGGTCAGTGCTCAACCACTGAGCCATGCTGGCTGGGGAAGCAGGGTTATTCCTCTCCCTCTCCCTTCCTCTCTGTAAAAAATCAATAAAATATATTTTTTAAAAAAAGTATAAAGCACCGTAAGTAAAATCATCCATAATCCCACCATCTATAAGCAGGATCATTTTTTTTTTAAATATACTTTTATTGACTTCAGAGAGGAAGGGAGAGGGAGAGAAAAGATAGAAACATCAATGACGAGAGAGAATCATTAATTGGCTGCCTCCTGCACGCCCCACACTGGAGATCCAGCTGGCAACCTGGGCATGTGCCCTGACCAGGAATCGAACTGATGACCTCCTGGTTTATGGGTCAGTGCTCAACCACTGAGCCATGCTGGCTGGGCAAGCAGGATAATATCTATAATAATAATAGCTTAATATGCAAATCGACCGAATAACCAAACAGCAGAATGACTGTCCAGACAACCTTCTATGACAACCACTGGCACCAGGCCAGCCAAACAGGTGCAATTCGATTGCTCGGGGCCTGGCCATCACCCCATGATCGCCTTGCAGAGGGAGGCCCGGGCCACTGGCCAGCAGGCTGCGGCGGGTGGGCAGGGTCTCCCTCTGTGGGGGTGATCCATCATGGAGCTCCAGCCGGGTGGGCAAGGCCTACCTCTTTGGGGTGATCCATCGAGGAGCCCCAGCTGGGTGTGTGGGGGCTACCTCTTTGGGGGGATCAATCACAGGGCTTCCGGACTGTGAGAGAGCACAAGCTGGGCTGAGGGACAGCCCCCCAAAGTGCACGAATTTCGTGCACTGGGCCTCTAGTTATGACATAATAACCTGTTACTGTTTTTCTGTATATTTTTTACCCTTCTTGGTTTTCACTTGTTTTTTTTCCACCCTGTATTCTGCCGACACCTGTCGGTCAGACCCACTTGCTAATTCCACTGTCGTACATGTTAAGGCAGAAAGAGAAGCAGGCCAGTCATTTCCTTGTGCAGATCCTTCGTCACCTTCCTTTTCCTTCCTCCCAGCACCGAGATTCTCCCACTCTTCACTCCTGTTACTTGGTCAAGTTCATGGCAGAAGTATGAGGAGCTGATAATGGTTTTTCTCCTGCAGCTCCATTCTGCTTTAGTCCCTCTCTTCCCACATAATGAGTGAAAATTAGTTACAACTTTTATTTTAAAAGTTTTCTCTAATCTTTGGCTTTCTTTTATAAAGCCCTCATCCGGTAGTCATGCTGTATTGCCTGTGTAAATACATCATCCTGTGTAAAGTTCATTCACGTGCCTTCATGTTCCACATACCCTGAGCTGCATTCATGCTTTTGGATGACTTAGCATTTCTTCTGTGCCCCACAGTTTGGACTCATATAGTCATAAAGAAGATGCGTCGGCATTTCCGGGAAAAAGAGCCTTAATTTCATTTCTTTCCTGGTTTGATTATTGTGATCAACTCATAAAGGAAGCACAAAAGGTTGGGATGTTTTTGTTGTTTACTGAGCCTTTAAAAATGTAATTGTCTATTAAGTGAAATTCAAATTCTCAGTTAATATCCCCAAATATATCTTAATTGTCCTAGAATAGCACAGTTAGTAAAATAAATAAAACCAAATGAACAAGAGAAATGCATATGTATAGAGTGTGTGTGTTACAACTGTAGAATAAATTACAATTCCAGTTCTGCCTTTATGTTTCTTTAAGTATTATAGTACAGCCTTCATAAGACAGCATTGGCCTCCCTCCCTTTCTCCTCTATGGGAAGATCTTACTCCCATGAGGTGGTTAAGATAATATTTTTATCCTGCTTGTCAGAAATTTAGATACAATGTAAAGCACTTAATAACTAGCATCTAATCTAGGCAAGTTTATTTTCCACATTAATGCAGACAGAGGGTGGAGACTGATTTATTGATGTTACAAATTAATCTCTCTCTGATATCGATGCTTGTACTATATTCTAGACTACTGCTGTTGCTCTTGCCAAAGCCATCCATGAAAGATTTTTTATTGGTGTTATGGAACCTCAGTTAATGCAAACGTGAGTGGTCTCTTTACTTAAAAAGTAAAACCGCGCCGAAACCGGTTTGGCTCAGTGGATAGAGCGTCGGCCTGCGGACTGAAGGGTCCCAGGTTCGATTCCGGTCAAGGGCATGTACCTGGGTTGCGGGCACATCTCCAGTGGGAGATGTGCGGGAGGCAGCTGGTCGATGTTTCTCTCTCACTGATGTTTCTGGCTCTCTGTCTCTCTCCCTTCCTCTCTGTAAAAAATCAATAAAATATATTAAAAAAAAAAAAGTAAAACCGCTGTGTTCATGTTATTTTGCCCGCTAATTCCCTGTTTCTTATGCCAGTTCTGAGATGGGTATCCTGACGTCGACTGCGTTGCTTCATCGCATTGTTCGGCAAGTCACCTCCAATGTTTTGCTTCAAGAAATGGTGTTTTTTATCCTTGGGGAACAGAGGGAGCCAGAAACTCTGGCAGATATGAACAGACACCCTTTAAGACACAGGTTAATTGAACATTGTGATCACATATCTGATGAGGTGAGCTGTGCAAGGGTTTAGAATTTGACTTAGAGCAGCGGTTCTCAACCTGTGGGTTGCGACCCCTTTGGGGGTTGAACGACCCTTTCACAGGGGTCGCCTAAGACCATCGGAAAACACATACATAATTACATATTGTTTTTGTGGTTAATCACTATGCTTTAATTATGTTCAATTTGTAACAATGAAAATACATCCTCTGTATCAGATATTTACATGACGATTCATACAGTATCAAAATTACAGTTATGAAGTAGCAACGAAAATGATTTTATGGTTGGGGGGTCACCACAACATGAGGAACTGTATTAAAGGGTCGTGACATTAGGAAGGTTGAGAACCACTGACTTAGAGTCTTTGAAATACTGACTTTAATATACTTGTGACGTGTTGAATACAGCCTCTTTTTTTAAAAACATTTCACGTAGAATCATAATTTTCTCTTTCCTCTTATTTCCCTTATTCATTAAAAAAAAAACCTCTAACAGTTCGCAAGTTTTAAAAAAATAAATCTTAGATTTCTTAATATTACTGTCCCTTTAAATTATAAGTGGCATTATCTATTCATTAGGTCTAACACAATCACTATCTTCTTGAGTTGATGTTAGTATAAAACGTTAATTCCTCTATAAAATATCAATACATTATATCTTAATTTTTTTAAACAAAATTATGTAAGAAGAAAATTATTTCTAACAGCATAGAGAATATTTTGGTTTAGAAAATATAATAAAATGTTTTCTTATGCGTCATTAAATTAAACTTAGAGATCTGGAAGAAGATCCATTATTTACTGACATTTCACCAGATAACACTTTGTCAAACCAAGAATGGCTTAGTTCTTCGCCACCTGCTACTCCAGACCACCCCAGAAATGATGGGAAGACTGAAGTCCATAAAATTGTGAATAGGTGAGTTGCTACATACATTTAACTTGCACCTCTCTTTTTTTTTTTTCTAAATATATTCTTATTGATTTAAGAGGGGAAGGGAGAGGAAGAGAGAGAGATAGATACATCAATAATGAGAGAGGATCATTGATTGGCTGCCTCCTGCATACCCCTACTGGGGATGTAGTCTGTAACTCAGGCTTGTGCCTGACCAGGAATCAAACCATGACCTCCTTTTTCATAGGTCGATGCTCAACCACTGACCTACACACGGCAGAGCGACTGGTGTTTCTTTTACTTGTTTTTATAACCAATAATAGCTCTGCCCTTGGATTGTTACAGAGATATCGTATGAGCTCAGTCTTCCCTTGTTTAATCTAAAGGTTAAGTGAACCTTTTGTCACATTTAGGTAGCCAGTGAGAGCCTCAGGCAACGTCAGTCGGAAAAGAGAGAGGCTCTGCTTAAGACAGAAATAAACACACGTGACCTTAGTGAAACTGACCTTCTAAGTACCCTTCTTTTTGTATGTAAATAATTTTAAGTAAATTCCCAAGTGCAGTAACATTGAAAATCTCCAATTTGACAAACTGTGCTTATTAGATATTTACTCCTAAGCTAAGGTCATTTTTTTTGGTTAGTCTGTGGTTTTACTTTTTCTTTTTAAGTGCCCTTTCTATGGCAATTTCCTTCTTTCTCTTCCTGTGCAGTGCTCTTACTGATACGCCTGGCTCTGTCAGATGACTAGAGAAAATTCATGTCGCTCAATATATAAAGTCAGGGTGCATGCAATCTTAAGTTCACTTACTTGAAGGCCAGTTTCCCGAGATTAACAAACAGCATGGCAGTCTGTCCATGTGCTGTAATGTAAACAAAAAAGTCATTTTAGGCTTACTTCTCCTTTAAGAGGAATGAGTAATTTTTGAATCAACGCTTTAATGACAGTGTATTTAATCAGTAAGGCTGATTAAGAAAATACAATTTTATTTTTCAAGTCTCCACTTGCATTAATAATACTTGTTTAAACTGAAGATATCGCTAGGTATTTTAATATATATAAAGATATTGTGAGAGTATTATGTTATTGATTTTAACTTTTCTCGTTGAAGTTTTCTCTGTCTGGTACCGGATGAAGCGAAATCATCCTACCACGTTGAGGGCACAGGATATGACACCTACCTCCGAGATGCTCATAGGCAGGTGAGTCTAATAACCACATTTTTGAAATGAAATCGAATGAGAATGCACTCTCACAACCTTGTCACACCGCCCACAGTCATTTCTCCAACGTTTCCCTTTCTCTGCGAGGCCTGACCTCCGCTCTCACTACTAGAGCGTCCTGCAAGTGACCTCCCCTTGCATTTCACTGTCTCTATCTCAAGATTTCTTTATTGCCCCCTCTTTCTCTTTCC